CTTCTTTCCTCTCCAGTCACAAGATTACATGGAACTCCCTTATTATTAAATCTGTCAAAAACTTCATGTGCAAGTAAACGCAAAGGACCACAATACACTCCAGAATTTGCATTTTCTAAACACTTTAAAGCGTTATACGTTTTTCCCGAATTTGTGGGACCAACATGAAGTATGATCTTGCTGAGAAATAGAAAGAATAGAATCAAACGCTAGGTTTTTTGTACAATGTTTATTTATTGATTACTAATTGAGCATACCGCTGTATAGTTCTTGCAGCTGGATGCCATTCTGCTGGAAAACTAAGATCGCTTAATTGTTTCAATGAGTTAAATCTTTGCTTGTCTCCATCAGACATGAAATTCATGGAATATTCCAAAAATGCGACCTTTAATAACTTCTCCACAGCTTCTCTCTAAATTTATTTGCAAAATAATTTTTTTTTTTTTTTTTCGGAGAAATTAATTCATAATTAAATAATTTTAACATTTTTCTTTTATTAAACAACATACCCCACCCTCATTAAGTGCAGATTGTAAAGCTATTCTATTACATTTTTCTAGCTTTTCATCCCGCACTTCTTTAACAAATTGTCGAATCGCTGTACGATATTTCATTATTTGCACACCCATTTCAGTACTTTGACGTCTAACATCCTTCGAAGTTTGGAATTCCGACAATACTTCTTTTAATACACGTTCGATATCTTTTGGTTCATCAAATATTCTATTTCCAAAAATGATACGATTCAAACGATTCAATTTATTTTCATTAGGACGTATTAATGTTGTTTGTGTTGATTTCGATTTATAGTCATTAGCACGCAATAATATTGCTTGTGTTGATAATGTATTTCTATCTATCAAATGTGAACGTATAGAATATTTAAAAATTTTACATCGAGAAACCAAATTCATGTTATAATTTTTTTGTTAATTTAGAATTATATGGGTATTATGGATATTGATTTGATCTGTCAAAATTTTAGGTTGCATCGGTCCAGAGACGATAATTTTTCAGCGATAAAAAAATAATTGATTCCTATTTCAGTATATGGAAAGACATTCATTTGATTGGTTAATTTGTGAAAATCAAACCGTGATTATCAACCAATCAAATCAATCAAAAATTCCATGTGCTATTCTTTATAATTCTATTTATTTTCAATCTTTAATTCATATAATGAATCAGAAAATGCTATACTTAAACGAAGTTATGCCCACTAATTTAACGGTTTATAATATTAAACAATACGTAAACACGTAAAATACTCTACTAAGCGATTTTTCATATAAAAAGTTTTTTTACATATGATATTCCCGTGTATTTTACATTCTACCCCATAGGAAGAAGTTTTTTGGCTGATGTAAATCAATTGCCTAGGTAGTGTTGGTAGGCGAAACCTAGGAGTTTCGTCAAAAAAAAAATTAAAATGGCGAAATGGCGAAACTGGCGAAATTGCTAAAAGTTGACGAAACTAGAAAATTAGTAAAAGATGAAAAGAAGCAAGAATAGAAGGATAAAGAAAATTAAAACTCTATAATTATTGTGGGGGCTGATGCTGAAAATTTTTCATATTTTATTATAAAATTGCAAAATTTTTTAGTCTTTTTTGTGGTCTTTTTTTTCATAGTTAGGTTAGAGTTAGGATGTAGTATTTATTAATAAAAAGTATATGTGAGGTTTTATAGATTTAAAAAGAGACCCTAATTTTCAGTATTATCTAATTTCAGCATCAGCCTTCACAATTATTATAAGGGATGATACTGAAATCAGATTAGTGATTTGAATTTAGAAAATTTTTTTAATTAGTTAACCAAACTAAATAATTTTTATTTAACTAGTTGCTAACTAGTTAAGATTAATACTCTACTATCTTTGAAAATTCTTGAAGCTTTACTTTAATTTTTGTTTATTTATTTATTTTTTTAGAACTTTTAAAATATTTACTTTTTTTTTATTATATTATTTTGTTATTTTCAGATTCTGTCAGCTGGTTGTACTAAGTTAATTAATTAAGAATTTTTTCAACTAGTAATCTGAAATTCAGATTAACCAATTATAGTTTAACTAATTTAATAGATAATTCACCAGTCATATGGAGAGCTATGTGACGCAGGTTACACAAGATTTATATATAAATTATATATAAAATCTTCAAATAGTAAATGTGGAG